AACTGAAAAGCGTTGTGTTTTTAAAAATAAATAAATAAATGAAGTAAATAAATAAATGAAATATGTGAACATAGAGATTCTTCCCCAAACTTACCTCTGGATCACACTCTGAAGCCTGTCCATTGCAGTGGCAGGAAGCTAACACGTCCCAGTCTGACACGGTAAAGTAGAAACCCCTCTTGAGTGATTCTGTAACTGACTCTAGGTCAAACCCACTTGGTGTAATGAATTTCACTAATACTATTCTGATATTTGTCATAAGAAAGAAAGCCTGTTTCTCTGCATCGTTGAGCAGATCCTGTGCAGCATCTGCATCACGCATTGGAGAATAAAAAAGCTGCAACATAAAAAGGACAATAATTATCAATTTAACATCAAAATCTGACATTCAAGCAATCTGTGATCTGTAACACATGGAACATTAATACCACTTTCTAGAAGACCACAAAGGACTTGGACTTTCTCATTTTAAAGACAATACTTATTCAAAATGGTCCATTACTAAAAGAAAACCAATCTGCAAGTACACAATGAAAAACAATCCTGTTTAATTCAACACAATCGTGTACTTTTGGTAATCTCAGACATCACTTCCTGGTGTGCTGATCAACAAGGCAAACAACACAATCATGAAACTGTGGCAACTAATTTTGATACAGCTAGTACAACAAAATTCTGTCAAGTAGAAAATGAAATAATTTTTACCCACACTTTAACTCCCCCTTGGTTTAGCCGGTCCAAACATGGGTAAAATTGGGAGCAATATTGTTATTACATAATATAAGCATTTCTTTGTACCCAAACATGCATAGCAACCAAATGTTTTTTGGTGAGCACTGTTAGCTGATCACCTACAAAAGTAATATCTTTAAAGCCAAGAATTGAAAACTTACTATTTAAGAGTCACTTCAAAGCTAGAACAAAAAGCAAGTTTTAAGCTCGAAGCCAATGCTAAATTTCCAGTCTGTTCTTTGATATTCATTAATTAACTGCCACTCACTGTACTGTAATTCGTTTGTACATTTCTTTACCCTATGTTACAAAGCAAGATTAATGACTTTTGTCGCGAAGAAACCAGAAAACGCTAAAAAAATGACTCGAGAATCTTAATAGAAACCTAAGTCACAAAAAGGCAAACTTATCTTGCATTTATTATGCAACGATTTGATAACAAACATCCACGTTTTGGCTGAAAATGCAGAAATGAAGAAACGCGATTTCACAATTTGTACATTTGCGTTCTCGAGCCAAAGACTAAGAGTTTATGCAAAATCAATAACTGTGCCTTTTTTTCTTTTTTCTCCATACAGCATCTATCACTCTTCTACTGGTAGTAGATCTCGTGTGATGTTATCTCTAAGGAATTTATGAATCACCGACTGTAAACAATGGCTTCACTTCTGTTTATGTACAAATTTCAGACGACTGCATTCCATAAGCGTGAAAGTTTTATGCGACCACAGCAGGATCTAAACATGCAGGCACCAGTTGTTCTATACACGATCCATAAGATAAATGCTATATTTTATAGACAATGAGAATTATTCCAAAGTAATAACTTCATAATAATGATTATCGATTAGAACGACACATTTCACATTGTAAGTAGACGAAATACACAACTGTCAATTGTTGTTGTAGCACGTACTATCTTCATGTTAAACTTAAAATCGAAAATCATCGATTGATTCGCAAAAAATATAAGCTTGAAGCACTGGACTTTCAAACCGTCTCTTTCGTCTTCTGGTGTTTCCGGCATGTTAAAAGACTCGGTGCAATTCGTTGCAAAGTATGTTAAAGGATTGTAAGTAATTCCCGAATCATTTGACTTCAAAAAGTACATCGCTGCAGGCAGTTCATGGTAAAAAGTCACCACAGACCGATATAGCATAAAAGTTCTTCCAATATCTAGCTGCAAAACAACAGGGTACTCGAAGTTTTTAGATTTCCAGAACTTACGATCGGCAAAAGGATCGTTCACAAATGTCGGAGGATGTTCGTTATTTGGATCATTCGCGTTGCAGACTTTGGAGCAGTCCAACTTATAGCAGTACACTTCTGCCGGGTCTCCACAAGTTGAATTCGCTGTTACATTGAAATCTCCAGAAATATCCGCAGGCGGTGGATAACAAGGTCCACTACTACATGCATCCTGGCACGAAACAATCTGAGCTGCAAAAATTGCAAGCAAACACGACACGGCGAAGTTCGTACACCCACAATTCGAACGCGGCTGCAAATGGAAGCGTCTCCGAATTTGCCGCATTTTCATTCAAAACTGCTATCTGTTCAGCTGCATTTACCCGTTTTATAGTCCAGAGCCGATAAACTTTGGTTTAACTTTCTTCGGGAACTACAATTCTGAGGTTCGAAGTAAGTCTCTGAAAAGGCCGTGCAAGAACGCTTCCCTTCTCGATTGAATAGAATTTGACTTCTTCGGTCAATTGAAATTTTGACAATCCGTTGTAATAAGAATTTCTTTTAAATCATGAAAATGATTATCGGTAATTAACCTTTTCAACGTTTTAACTAAAATGTCGAAAACATTTATGAGTAATTAAATATATTGAAACTAATCTTAGAAAGAGAACCGACCGATCAAAACTTTTCATGGCTTTTATAACATCTAAGAACAGCCAAAATAAGGTTGATCAACAATGATATTCTCTTTACTCTCAAACGGTTGGACAGGACGCTTTGCGCGCCATTGCTGCTAGGTAACCAGGATAGCAGTTTAAAAATTAACTTCTGCGAAATTTATGGTTTGCTCATAATTGCTGGATTGATGTTTGACTTCTAAAGAAGGACATATTTTGGGCATATAACCTTGATAACACCGTGAATTGTAAATATAATTCAAAGGAATAGTTAATAATGTAGTTTGCGGCCCCGTAGTTTGCAGTACAGTGGAATCTGCCGTGTCGTTTATAGAAATGACGTCAGTTCCGTGAACGTGCAATTAAAAATTTAATTGTAGGCCACCAATATCATGGCAGACGCCAGACACTGTCCCTAAATTGAAGCGGGAGAAGTACAAGTTGGTATTAATTCTACCTTTTGTCCTTGCCATTTTATCCTTAGTACAGCAGCTAGAATTGCCTCGAAGCGTTTCAGCCTCTAGATTTCTGGACGAGATCTTGCATTTCATAAATTTCAATTTTAAAAAAGTCAAATACGCTAGAATCACTCTCTGCAGGAACTGAGTGATCGTGAAGCACAAAAAAGAAAAAAAAAACGTCAAGTTTTATTACTTATAAATGTATTGTAAATAATGTAGTGACTTTCAAACTGGAAATTGGTGGCATCACACTTTACCGACGATTCAATGCGATAAGGAAAATTCTTTTCTATCGATATTCTGGGAACTATGAAAGTTATTAAACGGAGTAGTGTTATTTAAGTTGTGGAGGTTTTTTAATCCTCCTCGAGATAAGATGACTTCTAAGATATTCGAAGCAACTCGTTGAAAGGCTCAAAGCGGGAGAATGAGGTGTCCAAATGCAAGAGTTCACTAAAAAGCCGAACTCTGTAGTAGATCGCAATTTATTCTAGGTGGTAGGTGGTACTGGGTCGTACGCTTTCTATTGGTTGAATTGCTTCCGGTGGACCCTCCTGTGAATTCTCGTCCCCAGGATTGCGGCCTCTGAGGTATACCGGGGATTTTGTGACACGTCCGTCTGCACTACAGGCTACCTCTAAAGACAAGGATACTTCCCGAGACTTTCAGAGTCAATCATCTCGTGCCCAGAGCCCGCGCACATTTTCGCCGACACCCGGGGCTAGTTTCTGTAAGTGTTTCTGACCCATGAGATGATATTAGAAAACTGGAGTTGGTCACTTGAATCTAATTCAAATGCCAGTTGCCCTTGAAAAATCAAGAATAGTTTCGTCGTGATTGATTAAGTGTTAAAATTGTTAACGTAAAAAGCATTGAGAATACTCAAAAAAAATTATCAAATTAAAAAAATAAATGTGTCAGCTGTCACAAAGCATACACGAGCAGCGTTCATTAATTAAATCACTAAGATCTATCGTCTATTTTTAAAAGCTTGTGGTGTATCCGATCTTGTGACATCCTTACCCAGTTTATAAATAGTTAATCGAACTTTTCATGTACTTAATTCAATATATTTGGTTCGGCTCATGAAAAGTTCGGCGTCTGAACTGGGCCCAAGTTGCTGTTAAATCTACCTTTGTCCTTGCCATTTTATCCTTAGTACAGCAGCTAGAATTGCCTCGAAGCGTTTCAGCCTCTAAATTTCTGGACGGGATCTTGCATCTCATAAATTTCAATTTTAGAAAAGTCAAATACGCTAGAATCAGTCTCTGCAGGAACTGAGTGATCGTGAAGCTCAAAAAAGAAAAAAAAACGTCAAGTTTTATTACTTATAAATGTATTGTAAATGATGTAGTGACTTTCAAACTGGAAATTGGTGGCATCACACCTTACCGACGATTCAATGCGATGAGGAAAATTCTTTTCCATCGATATTGTGGGAACTATGAAAGTTATTAAACGGAGTAGTGTTATTTAAGTTGTGGAGGTTTCTCAATCCTCCTCGAGATAAGATGACGTCTAAGATATACGAAGCAACTCGTTCAAAGGCTCAAGGCGGGAGAATGAGGTGTCCAAATACAAGAGTTCACTAAAAAGCCGAACTCTGTAGTAGATCGCAGTTTATTCTAGGTGATAGGTGGAACTGGGTCGTACGCTTTCTATTGGTTGAATTGCTTCCGGTGGACCCTCCTGTGAATTCTCGTCCCCAGGATTGCGGCCTCTGAGGAATACCGGGAATTTTGTGACACGTCCGGCTGCACTACAGGCTACCTCTGAAGACAAGGATACTTCCCGAGACTTTCAGAGTCAATCATCTCGTGCCCAGAGCCCGCTCAAATTTTCGCCGACACCCGGGGTTAGTTTCTGTAAGAGTTTCTGACCCATGAGGTGATATTAGAAAACTGGGCTTGGTCACTTGAATCTAATTCAAATACCAGTTGCCCTTATAAAATCAAGAATGGTTTCGTCGTGATTGATTAAGTGTTAAAATTGTTAATGTAAAAAGCATTGAGAATACTCAAAAAAAAAATTATCAAATTAAAAAAATAAATGTGTCAGCTGTCACAAAGCATACACGAGCAGCGTTCATTAATTAAATCACTAAGATCTACTGGTCTATTTTTAAAAGCTTGTGGTGTATCCGATCTTGTGACGTCCTTACCCAGTTTATAAATAGTTAAATAAATAATAGACGTTAAAGATAACAACTTCTTGCAATGTAATAAAACTAGTACAAATTATACTTTACTTGNAATGCTGAAAAACACAGCAGTTTACTCAACAAAGTGCACCGCAACAGCGCGCGCAAAATGACGCGCACTGTCCAATTACAAGCATGACGCGTATACACTTTCTAATAAAATGCTCAAATCGGGCT